CCCCAAAACCCCAAAACCCCAAAACCCCAAAACCCCATACTACTTTAATAAAGTTTTCTTGACAAATTGCATAATTGATTCAAAATAGTTCTTATGCCTTCAATATATTTAATTCACAAAATTCTACTCAAAATAGTAAGTTTATTGATGATCTATTTCAAATTCAGACTTATTCATCTATCGACTTCTCCTTTTTCTTTAACTTTTTATCATTCTTTGAGTTTTTCCTATTATTGCCTTGCCCAATATCTTTTTTAAGTATTTTCTGAGCAGCTTCTTTGCCGATTTCCTTTCCTTTTTCAAGTATGTGTCCAACACTAAGCTTTATCTCTGCAGTCTCAAGCTTTAAACAGAAAAATTCTGCTGCTAATACAGTCACTGTAACAAGAATCCCATGGCAGATCCACCATTATAAAGCAGTTGGAAATTTATATAGGTACCAGGTCACCCATAAGTGTAATATGAATATGGTGACTGTGAAATCCAAGCATTTATTTGCCTTTTCTACAATGTATGCTTCTGCCAAAATCACAAACAGTATATTTATTGCATTTGCTAGGAATGTAACGAAAGAATAATCCAAAGTGAAATCCATTGCTGTTGGGGAAAAAATTTAACCCATATGCGAGCGGTGATTAGTGATCACATTTACTATCATAATGCAAAATGCCAAGGTAGTGTAGTATGTGAATTATAAGGAGATTATTTAGAGGATGATAGTCTTAGGATCAAATCCACGAGTCCCAGCGAATAATTTACCTCCGAAGCCAAAAGATGATGAAGCAGCAGGAGTGCTAACTGTAGTATATGCACCTAAATAAGAAATAAAAAAGAAGCGCGTGAGTTACTTTTTGAGCTAGTAGTAGTCTTCTTCATTTTGAGTTTAAAAACAACAATTATAACTTATAATCATTTAATTAATCACTAAATTATAATAATTCTCACAGCACTCATTAAATATGAGCATCAACTGGCACTATTTCAAAGTCATGAATCGCAGACCGGTGGTCACTATCCCCCGTGCTGCTGCTGGTGGGATCACTGATTTGTATGATTTCACTAACTTCAAGGCTGATAACCGTAAGTACGGATAGAACGGCAGAGCCTGGAGAGCTGAAGAACTGAGACTTAAATCTCATGATGATTTGCACAAGCTTTGGTATGTCTGCTTGAAGGAAAAGAACAAGCTTAAGGGTGATTTCGTCGCGTCTCTATAGCTTGGACAGGTGTTTTATGGTCATCAAGATTTGGTTAAGGTTAGACTTACTATGGCAAGACTTTTAACTGTTGTTAACGAGAGAAAGAAGCTAAGAAACGAATATAGAAAGCACCTTGAAGATCAATATATCTCGTAAAAGAAGTAAGAAGAGCTTGAAACATAAAAAGTTGAGTTGCAAAGGCTTAAAGACTTAGGTATTAAGGTACCTCCCACTCCTGATGAGCTTAAATAAATTATTTTGGAAAGAGCAGCAAAGAGAAAAGAGAGTTATGAGAAGGTCTTAAATGAAATCAAAGAAAAATCACAAAGCGAAGGAGTCGCTATTGCCCCAATGATTGATGACAGTGATTTGTAATTGGTAGCCCAAACTTAATCCGATTTATCTTAAGGCGATATCCTTAGGATGTACGTGAAAAATTCTGGTTAGCTTGACTTGAAACAGAGACGTAAGGTTGTTGCAGCTTTATAAGCTTAAAGAGCAATGCATGCTAAAGAGATATTCTTGAAAGAATTATCTGCTTTAGGTAGGAAAATGTCAAAGCAAGACTTTGCCAAAGATGAAAGTTCAAGAATTAAAAACAAGAAAGATCCATTAAAGCTTAAGTTAGAGTCTCTAACACTTCAAGACGTTCAAACAAATAATAAAAGCTAAAAATCAGCTTAATGACGAAAAGCCCTTCATTGTGACTGTATCTAGTTAGATAGTGAATAGCTCATTATAGTATTGCCTCAAAAATTCACTTAAATCTACTCCCTTTATTTAAAAGTAAATTTCAAATATCAAAAATTTTCAGCGCTTATAATTCATAGGGGTTTTGGGGTTTTGGGG